GAGAAAGAGAAAGAGAAAAGGAAGAAAGAGAAAGAGAAGAGAGAAAGAGAATTGAGACGACACTGGTGCTGGCGCGTGCGTGTGGCTTTAAAGTATATGAGTGGCCATGCATATTTGTGTGCGCGCATGTACGGGTTTCTATGTCACGTGGGGCACGGAATAGAGCGAGGGAAAACCAAGAGAGGGGAAGGCAGAGGGGACGCGCGGAATTATCCCCTTTGTTCAGGTGACGCCAAAGAGGGAAAAAAGTGGGAAAACACGCATATATAAACGCCACCCTCTTCATAGCCAAACGCGGATAAAAAAAATAAAAAATGAATGCAGATAAAAAGACAAAAGACAAAAAAAAAAAAAAGACACCCGCTGAAGTTATTTTCTCAAATCGCACGACTTAACCTTTGGCCAAAAGCCACACAATGATTCTCTTCCCGCCCCTCCTCCTTTTTTTTAAACCCAATCCGCCCCTCTTCCTTCTCATCCTGCATCATCATCATTATCCTCTTCATTCCTCAACATTCATCTCCATCTTTCCCTCGTCCTCGTCCCGTCCTCGTCGTCGTCGTCCTCTTCCACCTCCTCCTCCTCCTCCTCCTCTCCACCTCCCACTCTCCTTCCTCCTCTTCCTCCCCCTCTCCCTCCTTCTCCTCCCTTACCCTCCTCCTCTCCCTCCTTTTCCTCCTCCTCCCCCTCTTCCTCTTCCTCTTCCTCTTCCTCCTCCTCCTCCTCCCCCTCTTCCTCCCCTCCTGCTCTCTTCCCTCCCCTCTCCTCTCCTTCTCCTTCTCCCCCTCCCTCCCCCTCTCCCTCCCTCCTCCTCTCTCCTCCCCCTCTTCCTCTCCCTCCCCCTCTCCCTCTCCTTCCTTCCCCCCTCCTCCTCCCCCCTGCCGCAGGATGACAGCGACCAGCTCAGCGCGACAGACTCTCCACCGGACTTCGCTGGTGTCACTGCCGGCGCCCAATTAAAGTAATCTGACGCCGATTGAGATCAAGGCGTGACACGGAGATGCTCTTTCGTCCTCAGAGGCGATCGGATCTCGTGTCCGGATATCTTTTCTCATCCACATATGATCTGCGCATGCTCTCTTCTCATCCACTTTCATCTCTTTCCTGTTCTCCTCATCCACTTTCATCTCTTTCCTGTTCTCATCAATTTCTCTCTTTTCCTTTCTCATCCACTTTCATCTCTTTCCCGCTCTCCTCATCCACTTTTGCTCTTCCCGCTCTCCCTCATCCACCTCGGTTTTATCTCCCCCCTATTCTCCTCCACCTTATTTGCCACTCCCCTCCTCTTCCCTTCCCTCGCTTCCTACTTCCCTTCTCCTTATCCACCTTGTTTTCTTTCCCCTCTTCACATCCACTTACCCCCCCCCCCTTTCTCATGCACCTCATCTCCCTCCTTTACTAATTCCTAAGTGTGATACTGAGTTTATCGCTTCTTCCTGATTCTCTCCTCTCTCCTATTTATCCATTAATTTCTTCCCACCCCCCTTCCGTTACCTCTTCTCTCGGTGTATATATTTATATACTTATCTCTTCTCGCCCCAAATTCCTCTCGTCCGTTACCTTTCCACTTGTTTCTCTCTCTCTCTCTCTCTCTCTCTCTCTCTCTCTCTCTCTCTCTCTCTCTCTCTCTCTCTCTTCTCTCTCTCTCTCTCTCTCTCTCTCTCTCTCTCTCTCTCACACACACACACACACACACACACACACACACACACAAACATATATAATATATATATATATATATAATATATATATATATATATAATACGTAACTTAACCATCACTGCCTGAAATCATGAACCACACAGGGTCCATGATGGCGAGTTAAAACAAAGGTCTGAACGAAAATAATAATCCTGAGAGATAACGAAGCGACGCGAACAATACTTTAATTACAGAGAAAAATCTGAGTAAATAAAATCAACATAATGTGTATGTATACGAGCATATACATGTATTCATGCGTGATGTGTGTGTGCGTGTGTGTGTGTGTGTGTTGTGTGTGTGTGTGTGTGTGTTGTGTGTGTGGTGTGTTGTGTGTGTGTGTGTGTGTGTGTGTGTGTGTGTGTGTGTGTGTGTGTTGTGTGTGTGTGTGTGTGTGTGTGTGTGTGTGTGTGTGTGTGTGTGTGTGTGGCGTTGCGCGTGCATGTGTGCGTGCGTGTGCATGCGTGGTGTGCATGTGTGCGTACGCGTGTACATTGCGCACATATTCAATCATTCGCTCACTCACTCCCCTACACATCCACAAATAACCGAGAAAGCAACGCGCAGATAAACACACAGACCGACACAAGAAAGAAAGAAAAACGGGAAAAAATGACGTCATCACCTGTCATGGCGGACAAAGGAAATTACGCGAACGAGGAAGAGACAGACAAACAAGACGCCCGCGATGACATGAACCGCCTGAGCGACCGAGGGAGAGAGACCGAGAGGAAAGAGACATTTGGGGAGAAAGGGGGAAAGGGAGGAAAGAGAGAGAGAGAGGGAGGAGGGAGAGGAGAGAAGGAAAGAGAGAGGGAGGAAGGAGAGAGAGGGAGGAGAGGGAAAGAGAGGAGAGGAAGGAAAGAGAGGAGAGAAGGAGAGGGAGGGAGGAGGAGGAGGAGGAGGGAGGGAGGAGAGAGAGAGAGAGAGAGAGAGAGGAGAGAGAGAGAGAGAGAGAGAGAGAGAGAGAGAGAGAGAGAGAGAGAGAAGAGAGAGAAGAGAGAGAGAGAAGAGAGAAGAAAGAGAGCGAGAAAGAGAGGAGAAAGAAAGAAAGAGAAAGAGAAAGGAAGAGGAAGAAATCGAGAGAGATGAAGCCAAACAGCCGACATGATCAATGCGCGGAGGAAGCGAAGAAAAGGGTGAGTGGAAAGAGTGAAAGAGTGAAAGACTGAGAGGAAACGAAAAAAATCATTCTATCTCTGATCTATCCCCCCCCCCCCTTCCTCGATTCTCCCCTTGCCCCCTCCCCCCTCCCACCCACTCTCAAGCCTCCTTCCACCAAATTATTCCCTCCTTTCTCCCCTCCTCCCCTCCCTGCTTATTTCCCCTTTAAAATTTCGATTTCTCACCCTTCTCCTTTATTACGTTTCTCTCCCATCACTCCCTACTTAACTCCTCCTCCTTCTCCCCTTTTCTTCTTCTTCCTTCCTTCCCTATCTCCTCTCTCCATCTCATCTCTTTTTCTCCTTACCTCCATCTCAGTCCCCCTCCCTCCCTTTCTTCCTCTCTCACTCCATTCTCCTTTATCCCCCCCTTCCCTCACTCACTGCTCCTTCCCCTCCATTCCTCCCCTCCTTTCCACCCTTCCTCCCTCTTCCCTCCTCCCTCTTATCCCTCCTCCACACCCTCCTTTCCCTCCTCTCTCCCCTCCTTTCCACCCTTTCTCCTCCTCTCCTCCCCTTCCCTCCTTCCTCCTCCTCCTCCTCCTCCCCTCCCTCCCCTTCCTCCTCCTCCACCACCCTTCTCCTCCTCCCCCTCTTCCCTCCCTCCCTCTTTCCCTTCCTCCTCCACCACCCTCCTTTCCCTCCCTCTTCCTCCCTCTTCCCCTCTCCTCACTTCCACCTTTTCTCCCTCCCTTTCCCCTCCTCCACCACCTCCCTCTCTCCCTCTTTCCCCTCCTCCACCACCCTCCCTCCTCCCTCCTCTCCCTCTTCCCCTTCCCCCTTCCCCTCTTCCCTCTTTCCTCCCTCCTTCCCTCCTTCCACCACCCTCCCCTCCCTCCCTCCCCTTCCCTCCTCCTCCTCACCCTCCTTCCCTCCCTCTCCTCTCTTTCCCCTCCTCACCACCCCTGCCTTTCCCCTCCCCCCTCCTCTCCCTCCCTCCCTGCTCCCCTCCGCCCGCCCCCAAACGCCACCGTAACAAGCGGCGCCCACGGCCTCCCCGCGCGGAAGGCCGAGGGAAGGCGTGTCTTCCGTACTTCATGACGTCGGCGGCGGAGATGGGCGGGAGAAAGATGAGGGCAGAAAGCGAGAAGAGGAGGAGAGGGAAGAGGAGGAGAGGAAAAGAGAAGAGGAGGAGGAACGGAGGAGGAGAAAAGAGAAGAGGAGGAGGAGGAAAGAGGAGGAGCAGCAGCAGAAAAAGAGAAGAGGAGGAAGACGTGGTGAATAAGGAGGAGGAGATCGAAAAAAGAAAGAGAGGAGAGGAGAGGAAAGACGATCAGGGAAAAAAAAGAGGAGGAAAAGAGAGATGAAAGGAACAGGAGAAGAGAAGAAGGAGAGGACAGGAGGAACAGCAGCAGCAACAGAAGTAGGAAGGACGGAAGAAGAGAGAGTAGAAGCAGAAGAAAGGAAAGGAAGAAGAAGAAGAAGAGAAGAAGACGAAGAAAGAAAACAGCAAACAGAGGCATAAAAACAAGGAAGAGACCGAAAGACGGGAGATAGCGCAGCTCCGAGGATCTAAAAATAAGACAGAAAGGGGAAAATCCAAAGAGCGAAGATGAAGAGGTAAAGCGCGGGTATTGGGACAAGAAGAGAAAAGGAAAGCGAATCGTACAAAGATATATTTAATAAAAGAACAATGCAGCGAGATAAATGATAAAAAAGAATAAAAGTAAAAATAAAAAAGTATGTATATATATCTGTGTGTGTGTGTGTGTGTGTGTGTGTGTGTGTGTGTGTGTGTGTGTGTGTGTGTGTGTGTGTGTGTGTGTGTGTGTGTGTGTGTGTGTGTGTATGTATGTATGTATGTATGTATGTATGTATGTGTATGTGTGTGTGTATAAATACATATACATACATACACACACACACACAAATACCGCAAGTCGCACCTTCCGAAATAAAGCCCCGCCGGAGAGCAGAAGCCAATAAAACAAAGGAAAAACGCCACCAAAGCGTCGGCGTCACACCTGTCATAGATTCTTGGGCGGTTCTTACGCCCCCGCTCGAAGTACCCAAAACACGCACCAAAAAATGAAAGAAACGGAGATCGTCCATTGAATGAAACTCGTTACTGTTTATTGCGGATCATAAAGGTAGACACGAGATAAAACATTCACAGCACACTGACACATGTATACAAATACAAGCACAAACAAAAATACACACAAACAGTTACATACAATCACACACACAAACAGTTACATACAATCACACATTACACACAAACATACATACAATCACACATACACACAAAAACATACAATCACACATACACACAAACAGTTACATACAATCACACATACACACAAACAGTTACATACAATCACACATACAGCAGACACCGAACAGATACATACAATCCCATGCAGAACAGACACCCCTTAGAATCCCAAACAACAACAAAAACAACAGCGACAAACAACCACACGGCCCAGCCATGAGTCAAGACAACCTCGGGGTTAATTTGGGCCGAAGCGTCTCCCAAGAAAGCGGCCAGAGAGCGGGGGTCTTCACAGGCGACGAAGACTAAGACCAAGACTAAGACCCGACCGCCGCGGCATATTTCGCTGGCTATGAGAGGAATCTGGTCGTTCCTCTCTCTCGTCTCCCGCCTCTTCCTCTGTTACCTCGCTGGGCCGTCTTCGTCTCTTGGCTCGTACTCATTTTTCTTCTTAGTCTTCGTATGTCTTAAGTTTCACGCAACCGAGGCTCGAATGCACGCAGGCACGTACACGTACATACATACACACACACACACGTACGTACACAGCATATACCACAGTCATTCCCTAATAAGTCGTACGGATGCCATCGTACATTATGCAAATCTGCGCTTACAGATCATGATCTTGCAAATTGAATAAATTAATTTCGCGTCTTCAACCCTACTTTAGTCCGAAGTCCACGTCGATTAGCCTTTCCTGAAGCTCGAGTTAAAACCGTTTCAAAACCAACACCTAAATCCCCACGGTGCATGTCGATCTACATTTATTTATTAAATCTACAACTTCATTTATTTGGTAAAATCTACTTTACAACAAAGATCGACAAAAAATAAACAAAATTACTTACGTATTCTTTGACGTTTTTCGTCTTGACGGCCTTGTACGAGTAGTAGGCTGGGAACAGTGTCCCAAACACTAATCTGTAATGACAAAGAAAAATACTCATTAGAATCAAGCACGGTGGAATGGAAAATGGACGAAGAGGAAAAAGAGGAAGAGGAGAGGGAAGTGAGGGAGTGAGGGTGAGGGAAGGAGTGGGGGAGTGGGGGGGGAGGGGAGGGAGGGTAGGGAGGGAGGAAGAGAGGGAGGGAAGGAAGGAAGGAAGAGAGAGAAGGAGAGAGAGAGAGAGAGAGAGAGAGAGAGAGAAGAGAGAGAGAGAGAGAGAGAGAGAGAGAGAGAGAGAGAGAGAGAGAGAGAGAGAGAGAAGAATGGCATTATTTCCCGAGAATGAATCGATACGCTAATTAGACACCGGAGCGCCCCCGCACGTGTCTGTTGACTCTGTTCTGCACTTGGCACCCCCGGTTGCCACAGGGCGCTGCCCACTCGGCAACAATAGGCCGGCCTTGCTGTAACCCCCCCCCCTTTTCATTCTACAACAGAACTCTCCATTGTAATTTCTCCTATTTTGTGCGTTTGTGTTCATGCTCCTGTTCGTGTTTAAGGCTCATGTGCATGTTCATGTGAGCGTGTGCGTGTGTATTTGTGCGTGCATGTGTATTTGTGCGCGCGATCAGAAGTATAGTAAGAGTTCAGAAGTATAGTAAGTGCAGCGGCCAAGGTGAGAGAGACCGCAGCTGGTGCAAAGTTACGAGCTGCCTCGTAGCAGCAATCAGCTGGAGCAGGCCAGCTGTCAGGTGGCGTCCCCTGACCTGGCTCGTGTCCAAATAAGCCGCCTAGGACAAAGCCTCTCTCACTCCTCGCCCCGCCCTGCATCCCTCCTTCATCCAAGCCAATCCCCTCCCTTCACCGGCTGTAGTAGGCCTACATTCAGAGATAGTCCGTCAGTAAGCCGCAAATACCATCCTCCTGACCTACAAACGCGCGCGCGAGCACGTGCTTGCCCCGTGCCAAGGCTCCACCAGGCACAGTGCCGCATTCCCGGAAACGAGAACCGCCTCACAACAAACAGAATGACAGAAGGCATCCGCAGACGGGTGTGCGGCGTGGCACTTGAACCTAATCGCCGCGCCCAGGTCTCCGAGGCTTGGCACTCACTTCCGGAGTAAGTAATACTTGTTTTCCTGCATTAATGGCCACGAAAACCTGAATGGTGCCAAGATCAGACTAACGCGAATTGAAGCACCTTGACTCTCTCACCCTGTCTCTTTCTCTCTAAATAAGCGTTTATAAATAGGTAATATATTTATTCTCCCGACTGCAGAAACGAACACTTTGCACGCTTTATCGCTCTGGCGGCGCTCCCACCTGAGCAAGAGGAACTTCCCACGCATCTCCAACTCCACACTCCACACACACAAACAAGCAAAAAATAAGCAAAAACTACAGAACAAAGAAAACTAAAAAAAAGGGGGAGGAAGGGGTATATGGTCAGGGGTTAGCGCAACGCCACACTGAAATAACTATATACGATGCAGCGCAAACTGGATTACTCTATTACCTAGAAAAAGAAAACAAAATAAAAGTTACAGAACACAGCACACGCGAGGGCCTGAGGGCGCTTGTGGGACGTGTTAGTAATGGGCTTGCAGGGGCAGAGGCGCAGCAGCAGTACCTGAAGGCGGCGTAGAGGATGGCGGCGCTGTTGGGCAGCACGAGGGCGGCCACGACCACCACCACAGTCAGGTTGGTGAGCGTGACCCTCACGCGCAGCCGCGACGACACCAGCACGTCCTCGTACAGGTGCGCCACCGTCACCATGGAGTCCGACCTCTGGAGGCGAGCCTGGCCAGCGAGGGCCTCCTGGAGGTCGTCTTCGAGGATCTCCTGACCTCCTTCTTCCTCGCTCAGCTGGTCGAGGGGTGGAGGCACAGACAAACCCGGCGCCCGTGGGTGCTGGGAGTGGGCGTGGGGACGGTGTAAGTGTGGTCGGGGCACCCCTGGGTCGGAGGCGGAGTGCATGAGGCGCCGGGCACGCCCACGGTACACCGCGCCCGGAGGTTCCCTCTCGCCGGGCACGGGACTCGCGCATGGCGGCGTTGGGGAGTCGTCGTAGCTGTCGAAGCTCTCGCTGAAGTCGTAGTTTTCGGCAGCGGGAAGGGCCTGCTCGCCCGGGTAGCAGACGGGCTGGGGGAGATGCGGTTGGGCGGGCTGCCCTGGCTGCGCGGCCTCCCTCCGGAGATACTGGGCGTCATGGCTCTGGCAGGCGGGGTCTGGGGGCGAGAACGGAGAGACGAAGGGAGCGCCTTGATGAGGTCCTTGTGGCATGCCCTGCAAGGCCGGTTGGGCGGCGTAAGAAGGCTCGAAGCGAGACTGCTGGGCCTGCACAAGGCGGGGGGCTGGGCTCAGCTGCTGAGCGGGCGTCGGGTCGGCGATCCGCAGGTCAAGCCCAGGCTCTGCAGGATTTGCATCCGAGTCGGACTCCTCGTCGATCAGACGAATCCTCAAGTTGGCGAGGTCCCTCGCGGCCGCCTGAGAGGAGCCCGACCTCTGCGGAGCCGGGGGGGCCACGCCGCCCGGGAGAGGCGGGGACATCGGGCGGCCTTCGCTTGCACTGCTCGAGGGAGAGCTGACTGGGTGGCTGACGATCTTGGTGAGGCGGTGGGTCTGCTGCGCCGCTGGGGAGGCCTGCGGAAAACAGGCCCCGGCGGCGCCACGGGCGTCAGCTGCATGTGCACAGTGGTTACGGGCGCCGCAGAGACCTTCGCGGCACTGACGGCTGCCTGTGTGACGGAGGCGAGGGGTGTGGGGGCACGAGCGTCGCAGCCAGGACTGATGGGCACTTGAGCGGCAGTTATCAGCTGTGAGGGAGGGGCAGGGGAGGAGGGCACCGGAGTGGTGCTCGGGGACGGCCTGGAGGGCGGCTGCGGCGCCTGGCGCTTGGGGCCCGATCGCCGGAGACGCTCCTTCTGTGACTTTGTCGCTGAACTTCCTGGGGTCCTGGTGAGCTCCGACTGCGAGTCGAGAGGCGACCCAGCAAGGCTCCGCCCCAAGCTGGAGGCGCCGTCCTCCGTGGAGACGCTGGCGAAGCTCAGCTCACTATCGGTGAGACTCACGAAGGAGTCTTGGCGCTCCATCCCGCCGCCTCACTATTTCTGTCACTGCCGCTACCCACAGGGAGGTCTCGCACTCCTGAACGTGGTCACACCGACATGATAACCCTCTGTGCGCCGGGACGTGACAGCAAGCGCGACCGCAGAACTACGACACGAGTGTCTCGGGTGCCGGAGAGAGCCAGGGTGTGCCCGGGTACAGAGCCAGAGTGCCACTGGGTGCCCCGTCGCCGCCAACACTCCCTCAGACTCAAATAGCTCCCCGCTCTCTGGCATGTGCGCCGCGTGTCACACTTCCCTCTGCTACAAAGACCACCTTTCGTTACCGGCCTCAATACTACGGCCTTCCGCGATCTCCCTGGCCTACGTCGGTGCCTGGGACCTCGGGCCTAGAGCACACGGCCGGCAAGACCCCGCACACCACACGGAACACAGGCCAGTGTTCCCCTGCGACCCCTTGCATAACTTGACACGTCGAGACCTGTACAATCCCCGAGATCTTCGTCTAGGTAACAGGGAACAGGTCGCCTCGCACAACAACGTGCACGGGAACAACAGCTGACGGGAATCGCTAGGGCTTATTTTTGGAGGCGTGGATGCCCACAGGCCGGTCTGCTACTGTTGCTGCTCTTGCTGTTCTTGCTGCTGCTGTTGCTCTCCAAGTCGACAACAAGTTCTCACGCACACAGGTCTTCCCCAGGTGCCCGGCGCCCACCACTTCCGTACTCACCAGGCCTCCCCAGGACACTCCGCCCTAACAACGCTCACCCTTCCTCTCTTTCGCTCCCTCACAACCTTGCTATCCGACAACTGTCATGCACACACTGCGTGGACACCCTTCCTGGCTTGTCGCATTCGCCTAGCAAAGCATGACGTACTGCCATGACTTCTTGGACAAATGAGACGTCCGTTCCTAACCCCTAAGCCATGCCCCATCCCATCGTCCTTCCAAACTTTCCCCTTCCTCTATTCTGCCCCAAAGTCCCTTCCCCTCCTCCCCCCTCCCAGCAGACGCCCCAATGAGAGAGCCGGAGAGCAAGAGAACAGTGTCAACCGAGTTAATTCACCCAATGACTCGTTCATCAACGCACGCACGCTTGTGACGCAACTCCGGGCGAAGACAGTGGTGAAGACAGCGCTGCATGTTATGATGATAAGGTTGGCCGTTTTCGGTGGTGCGTTGGCAGTCCTACCGTCCTGACAACTGGTGTCAATTACGGCGTTGGTAGCCCTTGTGCCAACGCCTCTGCATGGTAACCCGAATTACCGATGTCTGACTAAAATAATTTTCTACGTGTCACTATATGCGATGTCTCTGTTGACAGTACGGGCTGAAAAAACGACGAAACGACCGCCCTTGCCGCCTCCACGCTGCGACGGCGGAGCGGCTCGGACGGCAAAATGGCGTGCTGATGATTGGCAATGGCGTTCGTGGTACTAGCATAAGCAGCGAATAACGACGGAGTGAGGATGCAGGTGGTCGTGGCTGGCGGGGTCGGCTGCGTCAGTGTTCCTGGGAAACATTTCAGGTTCGTCAGGTTCCGCCGAGTCCCAGTGACCCTTTGCGATGCGGACTGGCTTCCTACCTGCCCTCCTACGCTCTTCTACTTGCCCTCTACGCCATGCCGCTCTTTCCCTCGGCATTCCTTCCCTGTTCCTCCCTACACCCTAGTTACTAATGCAGCGATATTACTCCCTGATGATAGCTACTACCAACTGGCCCTACAGTATACCTTCGTTTAAGCTTTACTCTCACCCCCGTAGCCGACACCTACACCATTCCACAATACCTATCCCACCCACGACCTCAAACCTTTACAGAAAAAATATCTACCTTTCCCAATCATAAATAACCCCCCTCCCCTACCACTACCCCCAACCCCCCTCGCCCATACACTTGCCGAGGGCCGAGCAGCGGCGGCGGGACAAAGGCGGATAAAGCGCGCCGTAACATCAACAGTTTACGCCGGGCGTCGTCGGCTCGCGGTCATCAGAGGCGTGTGTGTTGTTTCGTGAGGCAGAGGCAGCCTCTTCCCCTCGATGATGTCCTTAGGGGTCTCGCAAGACGTCCTGGGCCGCGGGGGTGTTGCAGAGCGAGGTCCCCGAGGGCTACTGGTGGTCAGGGAGGAGGTGAGGCCCGGGCGGGGGCGTCCAGGGGCGTCCCCCCGCCACCATTCGAGGGATGTACACCACCAGGCGGGCGCCGTCGTTGAAGAAAATGGTGATCCGGAACTGGATGCTGTTGGGATAGGACATAATGCCCCCCTCGCCTCCCTCCCCCTCCTCTTCTCTCTCTTCTTCCTCCCCCTCCTTCCCCCTCTCTCAAATCACGCAGAAGACGGAGGAAGGGGAATGGCACAGGGCCCACGACACTCGCCCGAAGCGGCACTGCGAGGTGGCACTCCCTTTCGCCGACGCCGAGAGTCACACGCGGCGCGGCACCACTCGGGCAGGCCCAGCTGATTTTCGAGCCCAGCTGATGTTCGAGCCCAGCTGATGTTGGAGTCACGGCGGTGCTGCGAATCGGCGCCGAAGGGAAGAGGCTTGGCGACGCCGCATGGGACTGACGCTTCCTCTTCTTGGCTGACGGGGAGGGCGAGAGGGATCGGAGAAGGCGGGGCTAGCAGGCGTAGGCCTATGTCAGCCTCTGGTCTACGCGTGCGTCCTGTCACCTGTCAGTAGGCGGAGTACAGGGAGGGAAAGAAGTACCGATAAAAGTAAACGAAAATAATAAAACACTGTAAACAATAATAAAAAGGTCATCAAAATCAGTGGAGAAATAAAAATAAAAAAAAATAATTAATCTAATCTATACGGACGTGACTAGAAAAAAAAACTAATTACAGGAAATGAACATAAATGATAATTATGACAAACCCCTGAAAAAAAAAAAAAACTTCCCGACACACGCACACACCGACGCACTCCTCAAAAGCACGTGTAAGCCAGAAGACTACGTACAGAACTACGCATCGTGACCTTTGCCTCCCCGAGCACGACAAGCAAGACCCCCCCCCTCCCTCCCCTCCACCCCACCCCACCGAGAACAAAATCACGAACGCCTCATTCCAATCCGCTCGTCTCATGGCAACACACCGAGAAGACGCCCGAGGCCAACACCTCCCCCCCCCCCCCCCGACACACACACACACACGTCCCCTTATCAATTTCATTCCAAACTTCAATAAAAGGTCTGTTACGTAAACCCTTCCCCCTCCCCTTCCCCCCCCTCCCCTCCCCCTTTCTTCCCTCCATCAACCTTCACCCCTCCCTCCCCTCTCCTGCACCTCCATGCAACCTCCGCGACGCCCACCTCCCTCCCCTCGCCCTACCCTCCCCTCCCCCCTTTCTTCCCTCCATGCAACCTCCGCGACGCCCACGCCGTGCAAGACAAGGCGCGCCAATAAAACGGCCTCCAATCGCAGCCCCACACACAGGACCCCAATGATGTAATAGGTTACCTCCTCCAACCACCCCCCCCCCTTCCCCCCCTCCCTCCCTCCTTCCTCGTCCTCCTTCAATTTAAAAGCCCAACAACAGCCCCACTATAAGAGAAAGCCCTGACCCCCCCACCCCTCCCTCCCCCCCCACAAGCCCCACCATTAAAACTACCCCCCTCCCCTCCCCCCCCCCCCCTATGGTACTGGAGTGAAGTACCACCGCGTTAACAGCGACACCTCTTCAGGCAAGCCACACGTGCGTCGCCTTGCCTTTGCGTCTGTTTGTATCTCTCTCTTAATTATGCCCTCGGTGCCAGATACTTTTTATCCTCGTCTCTGTCCCTATCTCTTTCTCTTCCTCCCCACCCCCTCTCTCTCTCTCTCTTTTTTCCCTTCTTTCTTTCTTTCTTTCTTTCTTTGTCTCTCTCTATCTCTCTCTCTCTCTCTCTTTCCCTTTCTCTCTCTCTCTCTCTCTCTCTCTTTCCCTTTCGCTCTCTCTCTCCTCTCTCTCTCTTCCTCGCTCTCCTCCTCTCTCTCTCTCTCTCTCAACTGCAGTGAAAAAAAACAGAAGGTATATAATGAGAGGGATAAGCGAGAGGAAACGGGGAAAATAACGAGCGCCTTCACGCGAGCACACAAGGCAGAGTTAGAGCGCAATCATCCCTTCTTCTCGTCAGTGTTTGCAATGACACACGACACCGCAGCTACACCTTCGCGCTCTGCCACCTTCGCACACAAGCACTCGCACTTACAGACACATGGACGCACACATACAAGCCCTGGCGCACACACTTACGTACAGAAAAAAACGAATCACACACACACACAAGTACATAAATCAACAAACAAAGACACAAAAAGAAGGACAAACGCACACACACACAAACAAAACACACCCACGCAGCGCAGATATGACCACACACGGGAACACGCACACAAATATGCGGACAGTCGCACGAGTGAAATACTACGAATACCTCGACCCACCGCAGAATAATGTGGGTTGGACAGCCACTCGCACTGCACTCACGATTCGACAAAGACAATACTATAACTTTCAACAATGATTAGTCCTAATTTGCATATTTTTTTCGGCGCGAGACCCAATATTTTTGCAACTCCCAGCGTCAAAAGACAATATATGGCAATCTGCGGCGGCGGCGAGGGAGCCATTCCACTTTTCGGCGGCAAAGACAATATTGCAATTTCCGGCGACGAAGATAATATTACATTTGTGGGAGGGGGGGAAGGGGGGAAGGGTGAGGAGGGGGGGGGAGGGGGCAGGGAGTACGGGCCATGACATAGAAACGGGGGCCACATCTCTCTCCGACCTCCGTCAACTCTTAAAGATAGATAGATAATAGATAGATATAGAGCAAAATAGAAAGAGAGAAATATAGAGCGAAAGAGAAAGAGAGAAAGACAGAGCAAAATAGAAAGAGAGAAATATAGAGCGAAAGAGAAAGAGAGAAAGACAGAGCGAAAGAGAAAGAGAGAAAGATAGAGCGAAAGAGAAAGAGAGAAAGATAGAGAGAAAGAGAGAAAGACAAACAGTGACACGAATATATCACAAAGGAAAAGAGAGAGATAAGCAAAAGAAAAAGGCCGATAGAAAAAAAAATAGACAATAACACACGAAGCATTTCTGAGAGCGAAGTCAACACAATCCAACCCCGCAAAACAAACAAACAAACCCTGCTAACAAAAAAGACAGGAATCAAAGACAAAAAAAGAAGAAAAAGAAAAGAAAGACGAGACGAGAAGAGAACAGAACAGAAGAAAATAGAAGACAGAACAAAATAAACAAGAAAAGAACAACCACAGGAGAAAAAACGCGAAAAAGAAAAAAGAAAAAAGAAAGACGAGAAGAGACGAGAACAGAACAGAACAGAAGAAAATAGAAGACAGAACAAAATAAACAAGAAAAGAACCACCACAGGAGAAAAACGCGAAAAAGAAAAAAGAAAAAAGAACGACCACAGGAGAAAGACAAGAAAAAAAAAAAAAAAAAAAAAAAAAGAAAGAAAAAGAATAAAAGAAAAAAGAAAGACAAGAAAAAAGAAGAAAAAAAAAAAAAAACTCATCCAGCGCTTAAATATAGCCACATGTCGAAGCTGACACAGCAAGACCTGAGAACGACAGCGTGAGTCATGTGGCGGTGTCGTCTCGTCCTCTTCCTCCTCATCTCCAACACGAGCCATTTTCGCGTCAAATTCGCAGGAGGAGAAGAGATGCGAGTAGGAGTAATTCGTAGCAATGGTAGCTATAGTAAGGATGGTAGTAGTAACAAAAGAAGAATGAAGGAAGAAGAAGGAAGAAGAAGAAGAAAAGAAAAGGAGAAGAAAAAGGAGGAGGAGAAAAAAAGGAGGACGAGAGGAGGAGGAGGAGGAGGAGGAGGAGGAGGAGAAGAAGGAGGAGGAAAAGAAAAAGACAAAGGAGGAGGAGAAAAAGAAGGAGAAGGAAAAGAAAAGAAAGAAAGGAGAAGACTAAAAAAAGGAGACGGAGATGGAGAAGAAGTGAG